TAATCCATTAACCCATTACTCCATTCATGAGGGCAGAACCCTCATGCTCCAATCACATCTTAAAACTCCCACCCCGGCCGGGCGCAGTGCCTCATGCCTATAATCCCAGCACTTTGGGAGGCCGAGGCGGGTGGATCACGAGGTCAAGAGATCGAGACCATCCTGGTCAACAAGGTGAAACCCCGTCTCTACTAAAAACACAAAAATTAGCTGGGCATGGTGGCACGTGCCTGTAGTCCCAGCTACTCGGGAGGCTGAGGCAGGAGAATTGCCTGAACCCAGGAGGCAGAGGTTGCGGTGAGCCAAGATGGCGCCCTTGCACTCCAGACTGGGTAACACGAGTGAAACTCCGTCTCAAAAAAACAAACAAAAAAAAACTCCTACCTCTCGATACTACCACAGTGGAGATTAAGTTCATGACACATGAAGTCTGGTGGACACATTCAAATCATAGTAGGCCTGGAGCCCGGGCTTGGTCGCCAGCCCTCCTACCCTGAAAATGGAAGCTCTCTGGCTTCATCTTGATGGCCAACCCCTGGGGCGGTCACTGAGTCTATCCATGTGCTGGAAGATGCCCTGGTGTCCTCCCGTCCTCACCGAGGCCCACCTGGATCTCCAGCCTTTCCTTCCACTCTCTGAGCTCCCTCTTGGTCTGGTGATAAGCCCCTTCCTGCTCAGGTCAAACAAAGTCCATTTCTCTTGCTTATAACCACAGAAACCTGACTGGTTAGACACTGATCGTCACCCCTGATGCTGCCCCGACTCCCTGCATGACCCTAGGCAAGATGGCCCCTCTCTGGGCCTTAGTTTCTCCATCAGCAAGGCAGAACTCGCCTCCTATGCTGACGCGCCATGGCCCTGTGGCTGCTTTGGTTATGGTGGCTGACTTGGACTGGTATGTTTGCTGCTGAGGATCGGTGGGGGCCTCCCCTGCCCTGACCCTTGAGGCCTATGGGGCGTGCCTGGTTGGGGAGAGGGGATGACAGCTGGGGAATCCTCAGCTTCTGTGTAGTTGAGCTCATAAGGACCAATGTCCTGGTACCAGGGTTATTGCTTTAATAGGCAGTGGTGGGCCAGCTGTGGTGACTCACGCCTGTAATCCCAGCGCTTTGGGATGCTGAAGTGGGCAGATCATGAGGTCAGGAGATCGAGACCATCCTAGGTAACACAATAAAATCCCGTCTCTACTAAAAATGCAAAAAAATTAGCCAGGTGTGGAGGCACACACCTGTAATCCCAGCTACTTGGGGGGCTGAGGCAGGAGAATCGCTTGAACCCGGGAGGCGGAGGTTGCAGTGAGCCGAGATCTCACTACTGCACTCCAGCCTGGATGAGAGAGTGAGATTCCATGAAAGAGAGAAAGAGGAAAGAAAGAAAGAAAGAAAGAAAGAAAGAAAGAAAGAAAGAAAGAAAGAAAGAAGAAAGAAAGAAAGAAAGAAAGAAAGAAAGAAAGAAAGAAAGAAAGAAAGAAAGAGAAAGAGAGAAAGAAAAGAAAGAAAGGCAGACAGTGGTCCACCTCCTTTTTAGACCCTTTTGCTTCAAATCTTTGGAAATCTGATAAAGGCTTTTAGCTGCTTTCCTTAGACCAAAAAACATTCCTTCACTCCCCTTATTCCCTCTCTGCACACTTTATTTTTATGTGTATTATTTTTTGAGGCAGGAACTTGCTCTGTCGCCCAGGCTGGAGTGCAGCGGCGTGATCACAGCCCTGCAGCCTTGACCTCCCGGGCCCAAGCGATTCTCCCATCTCAGCCTCCCTCCCGAGTAGCTGGGACTACAGGTGCCGGCCACCCTACCTGGCTCCCTTTTGTTGTTATTGTAGAGACAAGGTCTCGCTGTGCTGCCCAGGTTGGCATGCTTTAGGGTACAGTTTCCGGGGAGGTGTAGGAGTAGCCTGCAGAGGCCTACCCTGACCCTACGGAGACCAGCCTGTGGTTTCCAGTCAACACTTTGGCACACAGGTCACTGGGCACTTCGTTAGCACCCGCTCAGATCAACTCATCCACCCTAAGAGGCAGAGATCCCTATATTTTCACTAAACCCTGGTTCACTGGTTTCCTCCCGGGCATGCAGCTGGACTGCATTTCCCAGCCTCTCTTGCAGTTGGCAGTGGCCACATGACCCAGCTCTGGCCTGTGGAACTGGAGCTGAAATAATGCAGCCCCTCTGCCCCTGGTTCAGCTCAGTCCACAAACATCCTTTCACCCACCCTTGAGCTCAACCCCTCTGCCTCCTCTGCTCCCTCTTTCTTCTCCTACATGGTGACTGCAGAGGAGGATTGGACCTCAGATGATGACAGGGTCGCAGGGGCCTGGGCCCCTGAGTGACCGGATGGAGCAGAGCCCTTGTCTCCCTCCACCAGCCTCCAGGAGACTGTAATGCACGCAAGAAACACACTTTTCTCTGGGAGCGGTTTCTCACATTTGTTATGACTAAGTCAACGTTTGTATCATCCCCATCCAGGGGAGGTTCTTTTCCATTGAAAAGGAATCCAACTTAGGGCTCCTTTAAAACAGAGAGCTCCTCCAGAGCCTTTGGCCTGTGATCCTGAAGCTGGAGGGTGTCTGCCTCCAGCCCTGAGCCTCAAGGCATCTTCTCTGGGGCTCTGACTGGCTTCCCCGCTTGGCCTCAGGGCCCCACCCCGTTTTCCTCCTTCCTTGCCTCTGTAGCCCATGGCCTTCTTCCATCCTGTGGCCTCCCATTTACTTTGACCACTGTCTGGGGTTGAAAGCCCAAGGTTCAGGGGTCAGCCACATCTGTTTTTTCCCCTTCTCCCTGTGGGCAGGGCCCGGCCAGCTCCCCGCGAGCTTCCTCCCGCGTGGTGGAAGGCAGAGCACACAGGGGCTGCTTCTGGAACGCCTTGTTCTTCGCAGCTCCCCAGTGCGGAAGGCCCAGAGGGGGCTGCTCCCAGGATCCCATGTTTCCAGGGCACTTGATTCCAGAGAGAGAAGCCGGCCTCTGCTTCTGGCTCATTTCCTAAGTGAGCCACAGCAGGTTTCAGGACAGTCCACTGAAGGCAGTGGCAGGGAGCCACGATCCTGTGCTCACACCTGGTTCTCCCACCCACGAGTCAGAGTCTGGGTGGCTGGCTCTGGCCTCTTTTCCCAGCTACACACAGCACCCTGGTCCCTGTCCCCAGCCCCTCCACTGCTGGGAGACCAAGACACAGGTCTAATGCCTGCCCAACCTGCTTCCACTGTGGGAAACTCTTTTCATCACCATTCCTCAGAGGGAGGACCACTTTCCACCTTTTAAATAATTAAATTGGTCTCCAACCACCAGTCACCAAACCCTTCTGCCTTTGGTAACCTTCCAAATAATTAACCACAACGACTCTCCTTGCTGTGTGCCAGGCCCCATGCTAAGCCACTTATACCCCAGACACCAATCCCTGGGAGGGATGTCATCAGTATCCCCATTTTACAGATGAGGAAGGTGAGGTTCAAAGGGCCTCCTGCCTCCCCCTCTTCACCCCACCCCACACCAGCTTTGAAGGCAGTAGCAGGGAGCCACGATCTTGTGCCCACGCCTGGTTCTCCCACCCCCCAGCAGTGGGAGAGATCGCCGGGGAGGGGGCACGAGGCCGACCCTCTCCTGGGGGCTTCCTCGGCGCCAAAGCTCACTGACACTTGGGTCTCCTTCCTCTCCTCCGGCCCTCCCTTGGCCCCCTCTGCTGCACCCCCAGCTTGTCCAACCCACCCTTGAGCTCGACCCCTCTCCCTCCCCGGATCCCACCATCAAAAGCGTCTGTGGCAGGGCTTGGCTCTGTCTGGTTTCTCCAGAGCCTGCCCAGGGAGCTCTGCCTCTCCGAGGTTGTGTGCTCACTTTGCAAAACAGCAGAAATTTATAGCCCAAGTAATTGATCACGGGGCTTCTGCCTCCCTCCATCTCTCTCGGGCTCCTAACTCCCTTCTCCCGCTCTTCTCTTTTTTCTCAGCGCGCCATCTGTGGTGTCAGAGAAAAGGAAGCCAAAAGGGGGGGGTGTTTCTAGTCCCAGTTCTGCCAATTACGAGTCACATGAACCTCAGTTTCCCCATCCGCAAAACGGAGAAGCTAATAATACCTGCTGGGCCTATGGATGCCGGGCCGGGAGGGGCACGCAGACAGAGTGACTTCTGACTCCGAGCCACCCTGTGGGGTGCGGGGTGGGGTGGGGGCCACCTTGCCGTTGCAGACACTGGGGCCAAGAGAGCTCAAGCCATTCACTCAGGATCACAGAGCTGGTAAACAGCAGCCCTGGGGCTTGAACCAGGTGAGTTGTGCCTCAAAGCTGGAACCATTAGGCCACACTCCCCCTACCCCAGACCCAGGGCCTATAAGAAAAGAGGTGAGCCTCGCCAGGCCTCCCAGACCACTATTTTACTCCGTTCTTGATCTAACTGTGGGGCAGGAGCAGAGGCCGCTGGGTCAAAAGGAGCACTTTGCAAACTGTAGAGAGCTGCGAGGACGGAAGGAAACGTCACTGACATTCCCATCCCTCTTCAGTGCCGCCCCCCGCCCTCAGACCCCTCCACTGTCCACTGTCTGGGGACTCGCTGAGACCTAAGGGCTTCCCTGGCCCTCAGCTGCTTGTCTCTCCCTCCAGAGAAGCTCCAACCAGGCCCCTACACCTGCCAGCCTCCAGGAAGGCCCACAGAACCTTCCAGAACAACTCGCAAAACGACTCTGAAGAGCGCTTCACTTGCCCTTCCACGGCAGATGAGGCACCAGGCCTGGGAGGGGCGGCCCAGGTTCTGGCCTGAGCTCCGGGAAAGGGGGGTCCCAGGGCTGGAAAATCTCCTCTGAGCCCCACTCCAGGGCGGGCGGGGCTGACGGCCCTTCCTGCTCCCTTCCGTTCAGTTCCGGGGGCGGGGGGGGGGGGGCGAGTGCTCCAGGGGGGAACGTGCTCCTGTTTCCCTCCACCTCGTCTAGCCTTGTCTCTGCCTGTGCTCGTCTCTCAGTGTCTCACTGTCTCTGTGTGTCTTTCTCTGCAAGCCCCCAGCCCACAGGTGCAGACTTGCTTTCTCCCATGCGTGGCCCCCAAAGCCGAGCCCAGCTCCTCGGGTGTTTGCATCCAAGGTGCTCGCAGCGACCCGGCCTCCTCCGGTCCCCACGGCATACCCGGGGGCCGCGCTGGGCAGGGCGGTCCGCAGCTCGGGGCGGGGGGCACGTTCTGTTCCCCGCTTTCTGGCGGGGACCGCAGGCTGCAGCCCCGGCGGCTCCTGCTCGCGCCTGGCTGGCGGAGATGAGAGCCGGCTGCAGGGCTGGGACCGAGGCAGCAATACACAGAACAAACAGAATTTTTTTTTGCAACTAGAGGGGGAAGCACAGAGCTAAAAATAAAACGAAAAGATCAGTATCTGTCAGTCTGACAGCTGATTGGCTGCTCGGAGATGCATATAATTACCAGCAACTGGCGCTGGGTAGGCAAAGCCGGGAGAAACTGCTGAGACGAGGTTAGGATTTAACCTTTAAATTCTGGAGCCATCGGAAACCGAGGGGAGGACGCCCTGGTGTCGGTGCTAATGAGGCTGGGGGCGGGCGGGGGGCGGGGGCCTCTGAGTCCCGGGCAGGTCTCGGGGCCTCCCGGGGAAGGCCCTGGGAGCCCTTGGCCCTGGCGGCCTCCGCCATCAGACTGGGAATGTCTCCGATTGGGCGGCCAGGAGGCGGTGATCCTTCTCGCTGCCCAGCTGAGGGGTGTCGTCTTCCGCGAAGTTAGGGTCTCGCCTGGGAGGCAGGGAGGGAGGGGGCTGCTTGAGGCCCTGGGCTCCTCAGAGGCCGGCACACCGTCTCACCCTGTCTCACCCACATTCCTTCGCGTTTCCCCGCCGAGTGTGGATTTCCAAAACCCATCCTCACTCCCGTCCTTCCTACACCCCAAGTCATCCCTGTTCCCAGCTCTGTTTCTTGCCCTCCCATGGAGGACTTTTCTGCACCTCAGGCTTGTCCTAGGGCCCTGAGACCTCCCTACGCCTAGGTCTCTTCATCTGTTACAGGGAGGTGATGGAAACTGGGCCCACCCGACTGCTGGTCAAATGCCAGGGTTGCTGTGGTTCCAACCTTGCATGTGGATTCTCCTACCTGAGCCAGGAGTCAGGAAATCAGGGTTCTAGTCCAGCTGGGAATTGTCCCAGTGTGAACTGGGAGTAAGAGTTCCTGCCCTCTGACCTCTCCTGGTGGCAATGGGGACCATGTGAGATGGTGTATGTGGCCGTGAGCAATAAACCCACCTGTGGGGGGAGGTGGGCGAGGACACCTGCAGCTCCTTGAACCCAGCACTTTGTTTCTTCCAGGCCTTTGCCCAGGCTGTGGGCTCTGCCTGGAACCCCTTTTCTTCCCACTAAAGCCCTTCCCTTCAGTGCCTCTTCCTCTCGGAAGCCCTCTCTGGTGCCCAGCCCATCCTCTTCTGCCCCCTCTCAGTTCTGCACCCCATGCTGAGGCCCAGATTGCCTGCTTTGCACACAGGGCTGTGAGCTCCATGAGGGCAGAAACCACACGGCTCTTCACAGCTGTGTTGCCCGGGCCTGGGCCTGGAGCCCCTCAGGAAGCGAGACATCTGAATCCTCTGTCCTGTGCCCCTGTCAGCCAGGTAGAGCCACCTTGGCCAGACCACCCCGGCTTGGAGCAAGCAGCAAGCCGTAGCTCCTCGTGGGTGGGGAACCACGTTTCCCCGGCACATCAGCAGGCCGTAAGTGCTGCATGAATGCTTGCCTCTGCCCTCAGAGCACTGATGCTCAGGGGACACTGCCCTTTGTGTGTTCCACCTAAGAGAGAATGCAGCCTTCAAGGGGGCAGGGGTAAGTGTGGTCCCAGGCCCTGTGGTCCCCTCCTAAGAAAGTTCCCGGGTCTGCCGGTCCAGTTCCCACCTTTTCCCTGTGCTGTCTGGGATGGTGGGTGGACTGCTGCTGAGTGGTGGGACCTAGAAGACCCATAGTGACCTAGAGGAGGCATTGCCCAGAGCTCCTAACTGGGGTGGGGTGCAAAGGCAAGTGGGTGAGGGAGGCAGAGAGAAACTGATTAGTCACTCACACGTCAATAGTCCAGCTGTGTGCCTACCTCTCTCACGCACTTCATGGGGATTATTTCCTAGAATTCCCACAATAGCCCCTTCGCAGGTGATGCAAGTGTTATCTACGACGTGCACATGAGGAAACTGAGGCACACAGTCATTACTCGATGCACGCACGGGCCCACAGTTGGGGAGGACAGAGGCTGGATCCAGCCCAGCCCCTGGTCTCCCAGGGCCAGGACCAATGCTCCTGCCTCTCTGAGAAGGATAAAAAGGAGGGAGTGGGAAGGGAGATATTCCCAGGCAACTACCATGAGACCTTCCAGCAGAGAGGCTTGAAAACGTTTTGTGTGTGTGTGCGCGGTGTGCAAAGGAATTCCCCTTTGGTGTCGCTTTGAAAGATTTCGGGAAGATTTAAACTGCTTTTCAGTGATTTGGGGATGTCAGCCTGGTGTTTTCTTGAGCGTGACACCATGATGAGACTGGCCCCCAAGGCAGCCCCGTTTTACTCAGGTTACGGTAATAGAACTGCAGCCTCTGCTGACTGAGCGCTCATCCTGGGGTCCATGCCGGACTCAGCCTTGACTCAGATGCCCGCCCTGAGCCCCACCTGAGAAAGGGATTATTTCATCCCTGCATAATTTCCTTACAGCTGATGTCAGAATCTGCTTGTCTCTAAACTCACCCCTTGATAGGAATGAGCTTGGTGAGGGCTCCAATCTGGTCTCTCCCATTCATTGCTGAGTCCCTGGTACCCCAAATGGAGCAGCTAGTCAATAAAGCTTTGCTGGACACATTTCAGATGAAGAGACTGAGGGTCAGAGAGGTCACATGGCTTGCTTGGAAGAAACATCAGTTTTGTCAGGCTCAAGAGTCCATTTCTGACTCCCACGTCACAAACCAAGAGAGCCTCAGAGCCTGAATCTTCCCCACTCCACCCATTCTCAGACCTTGTACTAAAACCAGTGAGCCCTCTGAACTGCTTCGTGCTCCCCAGCCTTTTCCTTGCTTATCTGGGAATCAGGCAAAAGTTGGCCAGAGTGAGCTCAGTCTCAGGGAAGTTGCATTCTGCTGGAGTCTCTTGGATGTCCCTGTTTTGCGTGACCTGATTCAAATTTTCCATCTTTGTCACTTTGTTTCCCACTCTGAGAAGTTTTCTCACTGTGTGTCACCTTGCTATGTGATGACTGGCTTGGGTAATTCACATGTGCATTTGATACCTGCTGCTTATCTTCTGTGGGGCCCCTGGTCCAGGGGGATTTCAGCAGGTGTCTTGGTGAGACTGGGGTTATAATCAGACCCTCTCAGGGTTAGAGCTTGGCCCTATCACTGAGTGACCTTGGGAGTCTCGCTGTACCTGGATTCCTCACTTGCCTAACTGGAATGGACAGGTTAGGCTCCTAGATGGACAGTGTCTTGCTCGATACCTGGTCAGATACTGCCGTCACTCACTGCCTGAGATGCCCTGCACGTGGGTTTTAGAGTTCGCTGGTTTCTGTTTGTCCTCTGCGAATGTCCGACCATGTACAGACTGATGCATTTTTCCAGGTACAAGATCCTGACACAGTCTCTCTCCTCAAATGACCATGAGCATCCCTGGATTCAGAGAGCCCCGGGTGTGGGGAGCTGACACAGGCATGAGGGCTGGGTCTGTCTGCCAGGATTCTGGGCTCAGGGAGGAGGGCAAGGTCCCAGGAGGTCTTCTCTTTTCTCTTTACCCTGAACCGTTTGGAAGTTGGTTTCCAAATTCCTGAATTCCTGCTCCTTAATATGTGGCCCAGAACAGCGCTAGGCCAGGCAGCAGGAGCTTGGTGGGTGTTGATCTGCTGGGGAATGGGAAAAGGAATAGAAATGTCAAGCTTTCCCTTAAAAACAAAACAAAAACAGGGCTGGGCGTCGTGGCTCACACCTGTAGTCCCAGCACTTTGGGAGGTCGGTGTGGGTGGATCACCTGGGGTCGGGAGTTCCAGACCAACCTGGCCAACATCGAGAAACCCCTCCTCTACTTAAAAAAAAAAAATTAGCTGGGCGTGATGATACGTGCCTGTAATCCCAGCTACTTGAGAGGCTGAGGCAGGAGAATCGCTTGAACCTGGGAGGTGGAGGTTGTGGTGAGCAGAAATGGTGCCATTGCACTCTAGCCTGGGCAACAAGAGTGAAACTCCATCTCAAAAAAAAAAAGAGAGAGTACAAGGCCGGGCGTGGTGGCTCACGCCTGTAATCCCAGCACTTTGGAAGGCCGAGGCGGGTGGATCACAAGGTCAAGAGATTGAGACCATCCTGGTAAACAGGGTGAAACCCCGTCTCTACTAAAAATACAAAAAATTAGCTGGGCATGGTGGCGCGCGCTTGTAATCCCAGCTACTCAGGAGGCTGAGGCAGGAGAATTGCCTGAACCCAGGAGGCAGAGGTTGCGGTGAGCCGAGATCGCGCCATTGCACTCCAGCCTGGGTAACAAGAGCGAAACTCAGTCTCAAAAAAAAAAAAGAATACAAAAACAAACCCTCACATTTCCCACCAATAACACACCATTGTTATTCCTATTCTTTAAGAAACAATGTTTTGGAAAAGCATCTGCCTGAACACAAGGCAATACCAACACCTTCCTTGTGCCAACGTTGCATGGGGCGTGCCAGCCAGTGAGGCCCCACTTATGGGGAGGTAGGTCTGTGCTCTGTGAGGTGCCAGCCTCTTCACTGCCCAGGTCGTCCTCACCTCCACCCCGGAGGTGCAGCAGGCTAGGACTGCCATTTCCCAGATGAGGAATATGAGGCACAGAGAGCTGAGGGGCCAGACTGAAGGTCCCACAGTGAGAAGCTTGGGGAGCCCAGTTGTGGGCTGAGCCCCAGGTGCTCCTGTGAGCAGGCTAGAGTCCTGGTCTTCGGCGAGGCTCAGCTTGGTGGGGGAGCCAAGCCCAGACAGACTTTGAGTTCTGGCAGCCGGGCACAGGGGGAGCCTTCTGGGAACAAGTGTGAATCACACATGGTCCCTGTCCTGGAGTCCCTCACATCTCCCAGGAGAGGGGGACACAGCCACAGACTGGGAACACATGGGCCTAAGAGGGGCCACCCAGGTCTGCCGAACTGATCCATCCCATACAAAATCGCTGAAAAGACCCCCACAGACCTTGCTTAAGAATAGTCTTCTTGGCTGGGCACCGTGGCTCACACCTATAATCTCAGCACTTTGGGAGGCCAAGATGGATGGATCACTTGAGGCCAGGAGTTCAAGACCAGCCTGGCCAACATGGAGAAACCCTGTCTCTACTAAAAATACAAAAAATTAGCTGGGTGTGGTGACACACGCCTATAATCCCAGCTATTCAGGAGGCTGAGGTAGGAGAATAGCTTGAGCCTGGGAGGCATTGAGCAGAAATCATGCCACTGCACTCCATCCAGCCTGGGTGACAGAGAAATATTGCATTTCAAAAAAAAAGTCTCCTGGGCCAGGCTCGGTGGCTTGTGCCTGTAATCCCAGCACTTTGGGAGGCTGAGGCGAGCAGATCCCGAGGTCAGGAGATCAAGACCATCCTGGCTAACATGGTGAAACCCCATCTTTACTAAAAACACAAAAAATTAGCTGGGTGTGGTGGCACATACCTGTAGTCCCAGCTACTTGGGAGGCTGAGGCACGGGAACTGCTTGAACCTGGGAGGTGGAGGTTGCAGTGAGCCGAGATTGCACCACTGCACTCTAGCCTGGGTGACAAAGTGAGATTCCATCTCAAAAAAAAAAAAAATCTTTTATTGGTATGTGCCCAACAGAGTTCGGGTCCTTCATGGTGGGTGGATGGTGCATCTTTTACATCTTGAAGTGGACTCCTTTGAGCCATATTTAAAACCCAGTTGGTTTTTCCTTCCCGAGAATGTCCTAGTCTGTGGTCCTGGAGACCTCTGGGCTTGGGTCTCCAGCTACTAGACAAGTAAAAACCGTGTCTCAGAAGCCCCTTGTAGGCCAGGCATGCACCTGTAATCCCAACACTTAGGGAGGCTGAGGCAGGAGGATTGTTTGAGCCCAGGAGTTTGAGACCAGCCTGGACAACATGGTGAGACCCTGTCGCTACAAAAACGAAGACAATTAGTGGGACATGGTGGTGCGCACCTGTAGTCCCAGCTCCTCAGAGGCTGAGGTAAGAAGATCACTTGAGCCCCGGAGGTCAGGTGAGCCGTGCAGTGAGCCGTGATTGTGACGCTGGACTCCAGCCTGGGCGACACAGCAAGATTCTGTCAAAAAAAAAAAAAAAAGAAGACCTTGGCTGTGGCCGGGTGAGATTGCTCACATCTGTAATCCCAGCACTTTGGGAGACCACTGAGGTGGGCAGATCACGAGGTCAAGAGATCCACATGATGAAACTCTGCCTCTACTAAAAATATAAAAATTAGCTGGGTGTGGTGACGTGTGCCTGTAATCCCAGCTCCTCGGGAGGATGGTGCAGGAGAATTGCTTGAACCCAGGAGGACAGGTTGCAGTGAGCTGAGATCGCGCCACTGCACTCCAGCCTGGTGACAAAGAGACTCCGTCAAAAAAACAAGAAAAAAGAAAAGAAGCCCTTGTGTCCCTCCCCTGCAATCCTGTGCCCAGAGGTTGCTTTCAGTCCAGAATGGAGAAGACACATTCCGGTTGTCCTGGGCTCTGGGGACCCCACCTCCTCCAGGCTGCTGGCAGTTGGAGGAAACGCATCTGGGCCAGAGACTGCGAGCTGAAGTCGCCAGTTGATTGCAGCACCTGCTGTGTCCATCTGTCCATCTGTCCTTCCAGCTCTCACCTGTAACCTCTGCACTCTCCTGACCAGTATCTCCAAGGCCGCCAACCTCCTGTGGCTGTGGGGTGGAAGTGAGAGGGGTCAGGGAGGGAAGAGGTCTGCGGGGGAAAGAGCCAGAGAAGCAGCTGGGGAGGAAGCGCCACAGATACCTCACTCCCTGGAATGCTTCTGGGCTGGCTGCACCCCCACCCTTGGTGCAGGTTTCTACAAGAAATTCAAATGTGTCTGTGGCTGGATTCTGCCAGGCTCCCTGCAAACAAGAGCCCACATGTCCTTGAGGACAGCTTGCAAGAGAACCTGGGGTGAGGAGCGTCTAGTGACAACCCAGGATGCGTGCACCAGGGGCTCCTTCCCATCCTGGGCCTCCCAGGGCATGCCCCAATCGCCAGCAGGGCTGGGTGGGAATGGAGAAGCACGGGCTTTATTTTAAAGAAAAGATGGGCCGGGTGTGGTGGGTCATGCCTGTAATCCCAGCACTTTGGGAGGCCAAGGCAGACAGATCACGAGGTCGGGAGTTTGAGACCAGCCTAGCCAACGTGGTAAAACCCTGTCTCTACTAAAGATACAAAAACAGAACAAAACAAAATTAGCCAGGCATGGTGGCAGGTGCCTGTAATCCCAGCTACTTGGGACCTTGGGGCAGGAGAAACACTTGAACCTGGTAGGTGGAGCTTGCAGTGAGCCAAGATTGTGCCATTGCACTCCAGCCTGGGTGACAGGGTGAGACTCCATCTCAAAAAAAAAGAAAAAGAAAAGAAAAGAGAGCAGGTGCCATTGCTAAAAAATAATCCAGACAAATGCCCTCCCTTCCGCACCTCAAATTTCTCAACTAATTCCTCTCTCTGTTCGCACTGGGAAAGTCCCTCCTTCTGTTATTTGCCCCAAGGCCCATGTTTGCCCAACAAGCAAACTGCATTTGTTAAGCAATAGAAGCCTCTCATTTTTGGGTTAGTGAAGGGCGGAGATGATGCCTGTTAACTCCCATCAGCTCCAGGCAGACTGAACAGCCCCAGTGAGCTGTTACCCTCCCACCCAAAGCAAAGGAATTTGGTGGAGGAAGCCTGGGCCGCCTGGCCCACAGTAAAGGTGCAGTGGCCCTCAGGGACTGCGAGAGGCTGTAAATAGCATGGAGCCAGCACCCCCCCCCCCCCCCCCCCCCCCCCCCGCCCCACCACACCAGAGAGTCTTTGAAGGCTTGCTCCCACCCCGAATTGGGAGCTGCTGGGCTAAGCCAGTTGGATGAGGGTGCAGTTCTGACCATTCCTGAGGCCACTCCCACTTCCCCTGGGCAGCAGGGGGTCCAGGGAGAGCTCAGTGGCTATGGGCTCCCCCTGACACTGCCATTTGGTGGGCTGACCTTGGGGAGATGACATCCCCTGTCTGAGCCCTTGGGTCCCATGGCCTCCCTCCTGGGCTGGGCGTGCTCCCTAAGGGCCGGGTGTCTTTCATGTCAATGTCACCTCTCTGTCAGGTCTCCTGACTTCCCACCGTGTCATGCAGTGACCACCTTGCTGGATTTCTGTGATGAGAGAGGGATGTTGTGGTACAGAACATAGAAATGGGTCGGGGAAATTCTGCTGGAACTCCTCTGGGGAGGTGATGGGACAGAGGCCCTGGAAGAGGGGGGAGGGAGGCAGGTGTGGCCCCCCTTTAGCAGGCAGGCCAAGGGCACCCTGCACCCAGGGTGCATCCAAGTGCTCCCCAACCTTAATATGCCTTGATCCGCTGTGGGGTCTCGTTCAGAAGCAGGTTCTGAGGCAGCAGGCCTGGGCAGGGGCTCCTGGTGAGACGGAGGCTCTGCCAGCCGGGACCACATTCTTTGTAGTAAGGGTGCCACGAATTCTCTTCACCCTCTGTGCCCACGCCTGAGCCTCTGGCTGGAGGGAGGCGGGCAGGCCACTTGGCGTCTGCAGAGATGCCTCCAGAAAGACCGGAGCGTCCCAGAATGCATGTGCCAGGAAACACGAAGGAACATGCGGGTAAAATTATGTTTTTAACAAAAGAAAAGACCTCTGCCTTCTAGCATGTGGACAGAGTTCTATTCCCACCCCACGCAGCCCCAGGGACCTGAAAGAATGTGCTTTTCTGAGCACAGCCTTCCCTTGCTGAAGGGGGTGGATCTGCTCTTAAAAAGTTGCTTATAAAATGAATTTTTCTAGATCAAATGCTATTTTCCAGTGGCTCGTGTTATATGACTGTGGTTGCATTCCCACCGAGAAACACCCAGCTCTGAGGCCTTGGTATTCCCGGTGCAGCAACCCTGAAGGGGTGGGGCTCAATCGTGCAGCCCAGCTCATGAGTCCCTGAGTGGCAGAGCTGATGGGAGCTGGCGCTGGGGTTTGGGATTCTAAGTCTGAATCCCAAGTGCTCCCCAAATTGGCTGTGGTCTCTGGCCAGATCCTGGCCCAACACTACTGATTATAAGATGGGAGGAGGCTGGGTGCAGTGGCTCATGCCTGTAATCCCAGCACTTTGGGAGACCGAGGTGGGTGGATCACGAGGTCAGGAGTTCGAGACCAGCCTGGCCAACATGGTGAAACCCCGTATCTACTAAAAATACAAAAAAATTAGTTGGGCGTGGTGACATGCACTTGTAATCCCAGCTACTTGGGAGGCTGAGGCAGGAGAATGGCTTGAACCCAGGAGGTGGAGGTTGCAGTGAGCTGAGATTGCACCACTGCACTCCAGCCTGGGCAACACCGTGAGACTCTGTCTCAAAAAAAAAAAATAAATAAATAAAGATGGGAGGGGCCAGACGTGACCCAGGGCAAACCAACCCCTCATCCAGAAGAGGAGCCTGGGGACAGTGGCCCATCTTGGTGGAGCAGCCATCTCCTCCTTGTGTCTCATGCGGTAGGTCAGACTCTGGATATTATTATTATTAGTATTTTTGAGACAGAGTCTCACTCTGTCACGCAGGCTGGAGTGCAGTGGCATAATCTCAGCTCACTGCAACCTCCGCCTCCCAGGTTCAAGTGATTCTCCTGCCTCAGCCTCCTGAGTAGCTGGGATTACAGGCGTGTGTCACCACCCTCAGCTAATTTTTGTATTTTAGTAGAGACGAGGTTTCACCGTGTTGGCCGGGCTGCTTTCAAACTCCTGACCACAAGTGTTTCTCCCACCTAGGCCTCCCAAAATGCTGGGATTACAGACGTGAGTCACTGTGCCTAGCCAGACTCTTGATATTAGGCTGGGAGTATTTTGGGTTATTTTTATTTATTTATTTAGAGACAGGGTTTCCTTTTGTTATTCAATCTGGAGTGCTGTGGCATAATCTGAGCTCACTGTAGGGTTTAATTTGAGAGATAAGGTCTCACTTTGTCACCCAGGAATCTTGAACCCCTGGACTCAAGCAGTCCTCCCACCTTAGCCTCCTGAGTAGCTGGGATGACAGGTGCATGCCACCATACCTGGCTTTTTTTTTTTGGTGGAGAAGTGGTTTTGCCATGTTGCCCAGCCAGGCTGGCCTCAAGTGATCCTCTTGCCTCAGTCTCCCAAAGCACCTGGGATCACAGGCATGAGACACTGAGCCTAGCCCACTTTCAGTTTTATACTGGGCACAATCATTTAAAGTATTCAAGGAATCGGCTGCCATGAAAGTTTGGCTGTGTCCCAAGGCATGCTATGAGGCTGACACCAGAGTTCCACAGCCAGAGGTCCCTGAGAAGTGCTACATTAAGAGAACGGCTTCCTCGCCTGGAGGAGTCCACTTTAATGTGCCAAGGAGCATGGGAATCTTGAACAGGAGACTAGAATTCACCGTCTGTCTCCATTCAACTGACCTTGGTTTTTCAGAACAAAGCCTGGGATTGGCATTCCGGGGAACACATTTTGGGAACAGAGTCCCTGGAAGGCTCTCGTGACTAAAAGGTCTCTCTGTTTCTTTTTAGTTACACACCATGGAGTACACATTATCCCAAAGTTAGTGTCTCAAAACAGGCATTTTAGTATCTCAGCTGCTGTGGGTCTGGAATTCAGAGGTGGCTTAGCTGGCTGGTCTCTCTTAAGGTCGCCATCAAGATGTCAGCTGGGGCTGCAGTCATCTGAAGGCTTGACTGAAGATAGAGGATCTCTTTCCTAAATAGCTCATTCACGTAGCTGACAAAAAGGCTTCAGCTCCATGCCATGTGGACTTCATCAGGCCGTTTGAGTTTCCCCACAATATGGCGGCTGGCTTCTCAGAGTGAGTGACACAAGAGAGTGAGACTAAAGCTGCAGTACCTTTTATGACCTAGCCTTGGAGAGCACATGCAGTCATATCTGATTGGTCATGCGGGCCAGCCTGATTCACTGTGGAAAGGTGTGCGTGCCAGGAGGGGGGATCATTTGGAGACCATCTTGGAGGCCAACACTGCAGTCCGAGGACAGAAAACTTGCCTCATTCGCAAAGTTGCTTTTTTCTTACCATTGTGTAGACATGAGCAATGTCAGTAGGGGAACCTGTTAACCTGCGATATGAAGAGAAGAGGAAGAGACCAGGAATTTATCAGCCACCTGGAACCCTGGCGAAAAATGGTGGTGATAATACCCCAGCCCCCCTTCCTGGGTGCTCACTCTGCACGAGGTACCTCTCGGGCCTCAGGGTGCTGTGCCACCCCCGGCCCCACTCAGCAGGTTCCACTAATATTTTTGAGTCAGGCCACTCACGCCTGTGAAATGCGTGAAGTGAGACTTTTTTCTGTGATGCTGGCTGCAGCACACACGTAGCTGTGCCTTATGGAAGTTGAGACAAGATCAGTAACCTGAGTGAACCCATGTGGGGAAGATTTGAGCAATGAGGAAATTTAGGATGGATAAATGCCCGTGATAAACAAATGATTAATAGAGGAGACAAAATATTTATTTCATGTACAGGTTGAGGTTTAAGTACGTTAACAAGACGAGGGTCAGGGTGAGCATGGGGAATCCCTGGTTTGGCTGGAGCCTCCTTGCTGGGAAGAAGTGTCATGTTTCCAGCCCCGGGGCAGGGATCCCTGGCTGGGAGGCCTAGTGGTGACACCTGAACACCTGGTGGTGAGCCCCAAAACGCCTGTGTCCCAGGCCTACCCATACTGCTCATGAGCTGTGTGACTCCACGGACCTCAGTTTCCCATCTGCAAAATGGGACGATGACAGGCAACTTCACCACTTGTGATGAGGATTCGGAGAGTGAACCCTTGGCCCAGCATGAGGGCTGTAAGATGTTTCACATGGCAGAGTCGGTGGCAGGTCACCAAGGTGGTGGTCCCCCAAATGGAAGGAACCTTTCTAGAAATTCTACTGCCTGGAAGGGTCTGGCGACACCCAGGGGACCCTCACAAAACAGACTGTGGTGACGTCTGAGGCCGCCCATAGGGGTGATCCCCAAAGAGGCTGGGCTCAGCCCCTTCTTCTGCTGGGGCATGTGGAGGTCTGGAGCCTGCCCCGCCCCTTCCTGTCCTGTTGGGGCATGATTTTCAACAGGGAGGATTCTGGGCATGTTTCCCCTCAGAAGTCTCACCAGGCTGAGCAGGACTTAGAGGAACCCCGAATATATTTGCTGTTCCAACAAAAAGACCAGGTATAGAGGGAACAGGCCCAATAAGAGGTAGAGAAAGGAAGGGGGCTTTGGTGAGGGAGATTTGAGGTCTTTGGTGAAGGAGATTTGAGGACCAAGGTTATGGGCAGCTGGGTGTGCTGGCCTCCTCTTGACATGCTCTATGGGTGTCTCGGCTATAAACTCCAGGCCCCCCTGTGGTGGGGATTCTCTCTCTGAGTCTTCATCACATATGGAGCAGTTTACCGTTATCATTTCATTTTGCAGATGGGAAAATGAGGACCATGACATCACTTACCTGGGTCATGTAGCTCATGACCAGTATGTGTAGGCCTGGGACTAAGGCCTGGGCCAGCCATCGCTACCTCTGGGCCTCATCTAAAGTGAGGACAGGGTGTGGTGGTTCACACCTGTAATCCCAGAACTTTGGGAGGCCAGGGCGGGTGAATCACCTGAGGTCAGGAGTTCGAGACCAGCCTGACCAACGTGGTGAAACCCCATCTCTATTAAAAATACAAAATCAGCCGGGCGTGGTGGTGGGCACCCATAATCCCAGTTACTTGAGAGGCTGAGGCAGGAGAATCTCTTGAATCCGGGGGGTGGAGGTTGCAATGAGCTGAGATCATACCATTGTACTCCAGCCTGGGCAACTAGAGTGAAAATCCATCTCACAAATAAAATAATAACATAACATAACATTAAAAAAAGCAAGGAGGCTGTGGGCCTAGATGACCTCTCAGCCCCTCCCAACTTCAAACACTCTGACAATTGCTGCATTTATTGAGCTCCAGCTGTATGCAGGAGCAGTGTCTGGGAGATGGGAGGTGCTGACCCCACCCTGGGAGGAAGAGCCAACCTGAGCCTGCTGATTCTTTGTGGCCTGGGATGGCAGAGTGGCCGTGTGTGCTGCCGGAGAGACTAGTGCCCCGCCCAGCTGCCATCTGAAACGCGTCCTGTTGGTGGCACCTTGGCATGGCTCAGGTGTTCTGGTCTTAGAGTCCATTTGGTTTGTACATGAAAATGTGTTAGTGCCCTCTCTTTCCATTAAGGTTCTGGTTTGTTGTTTTTCCCCCCTGACAGAGTCTTGCTTGGTCGCCAGGCTGGAGGGCAGTGGCTCAACCTCGACTTACTGCAGCCTCCACCTCCTGGATTCAAGCAATTCTCCTGATTCAGCCTCCCAAGTAGCTGAGACTACAGGTGCGTGACACTATACACGGCTAATTTTTGTATTTTTAGTAGAGGCAGGGTTTCACCATGTGGACCAGGCTGGTTTCGAACTCCTGACCTCATGATCTGCCCACCTCGGCCTCCCAAAGTGCTGGGATTACAGGCGTGAGCCACCGCACCCGGCCCAAGGTTCTGTTTTATATTCAAGGCATTTTTTAGAGCATAGAGCTAAACTTGACCATGTCATTCTTCACGTAAGCCCTTCCCCGACTCCTCAGTACCCTCAGATGACAGTCCATGCTGGGAGTGGCCTCAAGACTTTCTGGGACCTGGCATGGGCCAAGCTTTCCCACCTGGGGGCTTTCCTTCCCTTCCTCCCTCTCCTCCAGAAACACAGATTGAAACGTGCCAACATCTCTCTGCCCTCTAGAGCCTCACACTTGCTGCCTCCTCTGCCTGGAACTCTTTCCCTCTGCCCTCACAGGGCTCCCTAAAAGTCACTTCGTCCAGGAAGCCCTCCCTGACTAGTTGAACCACGTTCGTTTGTGCTCAGGCTCACCCTGCACTTCTCCTTGGTTATGCTCGTCATGAGACCCGCATCCCACCCCCCATGCTGGGGCTACTCTTGGATTTTCATGTCTGCTGCCAGCACCCAGGGGAGCTCCGGAAATGTCTGCTGGCTGAGTCATGAACGCACAACCTGTTGATCCACGTTGGTAATCCGGCCAGGCCTGCCAGCAAATCACCTGACCCGGTCACCCAGAGCCTGGGAAGGACTCTGGCAGCTGCCGCCCCAGCTCTCTCCTTCCTCCGCCTGAAAGCTCTGCCTGGAAGGAGCGAAGGGGTTAAGCGTTTCTGGCGGCCTCTTGCTGTGTCTGCTGCAGTTCCCCCTTCCGGGGCTGCAGCAACCCGAGATTGGCGAGGAATGTTTGCAATGCAGAGTCGGGAGGAGGGCGGGCTGCTGGAGGTGGGGGCCGAGGCAGGCCTGCAGCCAGGTTCCCCAGTTGAGCAATGGCCCTGCTGGTTCCTGTAACTCGGACCCCTCCCGCCTTTTCCCGCCCTGCCTGCTTCCTTCACCCTGGCTGGACTGCCTGCCGGGCAGTGAGTGGGGGTGGCCTGCACTCGGGGCTGCAGAGAGAGGTGGAGGGACAGAAGCCCGGAGGGCCTGGAGGGCAAGAATGAAGGGGGGCTCCCCGAGAGACAGAGCAGGGGTGCAGTCGGCTCAGCTACCCCAGCCCAGAGAAGCCAGGCCTTGTCTAAGGTCACACAGCGAGACACCAGTGAATTGGGCCACAGCTCTGGGTCTGGCCTCTTTAGTTCCCATAACTTTAGGCTGTGACTCCCACACACAGCACAGAGGTCACACTGCCACTCAGTTGGGAAGCTTTGAACCTCAGGAGACCCTCTCCCAACTGAAAACAGCGCTCCCCTGCGCATGCCCTGGCCTGGCCTCTTCACCTAATCCCTAGGGTCTCAGAGAGGACAGTGCACCCACTGGTCTAGGCGCACCCCCCATCCTGCCATTAACACCCCAGCACTGCCCACTGCCTGGCCAGGTCTTGGGGACCTTAATCATCTCTGTTCCCCGCTTCTGGGAGTATAAAGTAGATGAATGAAGGCCAAATTGAGCAGGTTCTTAAAAGCCCTCTCTCCCCTCTTCCTCCAGGTTTTTTCAAGGAAGGACTGAGCCGGGCGTGGTGGCTCATGCCTGTAATCCCAGCACTTTGGGAGGCCAAGGCAGGTGGATTGTCTGAGGTCAGGAGTTCGAGACCAGCCTGGCCGACGTAGTGAAACCCTGTCTCTACTAAAAACACAAAAAATTAGCTGGGCATGGTGGCACATGCCTGTAATCCCAGCTACTAGGGAGGCTGAGGCAGGAGAATCGCTGGAACCCGGGAGGCGGAGATGGCAGTGAGCCAAGATTGTGCCATTGCACTCTAGCCTGGGCAACAAGAGGGAAACCCCGACTCAAAAAAAAAAAGGGAAGGACCTTCATGGGTACCAAATATTCACTTGGGCTCAGACACAAAACTCAGTTCTTTCTCCACAAGCACCCCCTCCTTTGGGGGAGCAGCTGTGTCCCGACACTGTGGGGTGAGCTCCTCCTTCTGCCAGCAGTATTTACTTTCCGGGTGACCTCTGGGGAGGTGGCCTTGCAGTTGGGCGCATCCGGCTTGAATCCCAGTGGCACCACCTTGGAGCTTCCTGGCTCTGCCACGCCTCTCTGAGCTTCAGTTTCCCCATCTGTGCCGCGGAATTCAGACAGGCCCATCTCTCTCAGCTGAGGTTCAGGGACAGTGGCCTTTTCCTGGACCCACAGATTGCTCTGGACGTTGCCTAAGACAGGCTGTGGGCAGCCCTCAGAGGTGCCACCTCGGCCACGCCGGCTGGAATCAGCGGGTGGGTGGGAGCACACAGCAGGGAGGGCCAGGGAGACAACCCAGTGCCCTGTAGAACACAGCTAGCCCTTTCCGTGAGAATCAAAACGCCCCATTTTACAGGTAAGGAGGTTCGTGGCTCGCCACGCCATGCAGACGTAAAGAGGGATATCCACCCAGAAGGCCATACCGATCACACCGAGGATCCTCCTACTCCCTGTTCTGCCGCTATTTATTGAGCACATACTACTTGCCAGGCAAGGAGCCAAGTGCTGTACAAGACTGCCCTATTTCAATCCAACAGCATACCTAGAGGGGAGGCGTATTGAGCTTTCTTTTACGGGAAACAGGGAGGTTGATGCATTTGCCCAAGATCACACAGCTCCCAAGATCACACAGCTCCCAAGGAGTGGAGCCTGACTGAATCAGGCCGCCTGCCTCCAGAGCATGGGTGCTCGGCCATCCTTCTCTGCACTTGGCTTAGAGACCCGGCCCGGTGATCTTGGGTTAGTCCCCTAAGCCCCAGAGTGGCAAAAGGAAGAGGAAGTATCTTCAGGACCCAGTGAAGGGGGCTCAGAGAGGGGCCAACTCTCACTCCAGGGCACACAGCCAGCCGAGCCAGGACCCACAACACTCACTCCCCGGCCCCTGGCTCCCCGTAGGTGGCTTCTCCGTGGCCAGGAAGGACCCCCACGGCCGCTCCTGCAGGCAGATGGACAGACGATGGCCCCCTCCCACGGCCTGCGGGCTGTGTGGCATCGCCACCTCCTCCCGAGCAGGCTGCCTTGAAGAAACCAGAAGATTGATTTCCTGGCAGGCTCTGCGCCGAGGAGCCCGTCCAAATGGTTTGCATGTCTGCATTTTTTACTGCTCCGTTTAATATGTATGCAAATGCCGGCCGGCTGCGCCCGCCGCGCGGCTGCACAGTCACACGCGGCGCCCCATTAAAGCGGCCGTCCCGGGCGCGCGCCTCATTCGAGGCGACGGGCTCCGGGCCCTGATAGATGGGGTGCGGGGACGGAGACAAATGACGGCCTTTGTAATTTCTTTCTCTCTTTTTCCGGGGGAGGGGGAACTCGCAAAGGAGATTTAAATATATGCAAAATTGTTTGTGGGCTGGGGGGTGGGGCGGAAACCTGGGAGGGGCGGGGGGAAGGGGGAGAGGAGCCGGTGTTTTCCTGGTGGGAGTCGGGCTGGAGGCTGGAGGGGAGCGGGGCCCCCACAGTCACCTTCTGGCGGAGACAGCCGAGCGAGCCGCTCTGCTCCTGATAAGCAGGCTCGGTCCTCTGGGAAGCGTGGGCTTCAGCCGCAGAGAAAAGGAAAATGCTGGTTATTTTCGGCCCCGTTACACGCGGGAAGCCGGGGATGGTGGTTTTTTCCCCCATCGCAGCCCCGCCGCCACCACCACTTTCTTTTCTTGGTCTTCCAGGGCTTCTAACTTCCTCGGCACGGTGTCATTTGAGTTTCACATTAGCCCATGAGGTGGGTCCTGGAGTCACACCCATTGTGCAGATGGGGAAACTGAGGCTCGCGGGAGTGAAGTCCCTAGGGGAGGGTTGCAGGGAGAGCGGGTGGGGACTGGGTCTCTCCAGAGCCCTGTCTTTGACCCCCCACAGCCCCCTGCTGTCTCTCTGGCTCTCTGCGGTGGGATGTCCTCGTACCTGCGTACCTGCATCTGCCCCAAATCTGCCTGGACTCGCCCCATACCACCAGCCAGCTCCCTCCTCCCACCTGCCCCCGTGAGCCGCGAGACACAGGTCCAGAGCCCACCCAGCTGGAGGACTGAGCCTCGCATTTTCCAAATACTGCTTAAGCCTAAAATCCGAGGTGCTGGTTTTAAAGGAATCTTTCCTAATTTCTCAGGATTTTAAGTCACATGGCAGCTGGGGGCGGAAACATTTCTGAGAGGAGGCTCCAGCCTCAAGAGAGCCCCACTGTGGAGCAGACCGCTCAGACCCACTGGAGACCCAGAGTTACACTCTGCAGTGTCTGCGTGTACTTGGGTGTGTCGTGTCATTGTGAGTTTGCTGGTGTGTGTGCACCAGTGGCGTAGGGGAGTGTATATTTGTGCTTGTGTGAGTTTCAGTGTTAGTGTGTTACTGGAGAGGGGTTCTGATACAGCCTCCAAGAGAGGGTTCTTGGATTTTGCACAAGAAAGGATTCAGGAGGAGTACACAGTGCAAAGCAAAAGCCAGTTTACTAAGAACGAACAATGGGCCCGGTGCGGTGCTCACACCTGTCACCCCAGCTCTGGGAGGCCGAGGCGGGTGGGTCACCTGAGGTCAGGAGTTTGAGATCAGCCTGACCAACATATAGTGAAACCCTGTCTCTACTAAAAATACAACAAAACAAAACAAACAAACAAACAAAAAAAAACAATTAGCTGGGCCTAGTGTCACATGCTTGTAGTCTCAGCTACTCGGGAGGCTGAGGCAGGAGAATCACTTGAACCTGGGAAGCAGAGGTTGCAGTAGGCCAAGATCAAACCACTGCACTCCAGCCTGGGCAATAGAGCAAGACTCTGTCTCAAAACAAAAAAAAAAAAAAAAAAAGAGAGAGAGAAAAAAAACAAACAACAACAACAACAAAAAACCTGGCCGGGCGCGCTGGCTCACGCCTGTAATCCCAGCACTTTGAGAGGCCAAGGGGGGTGGATCACCTGAGGTTGGGAGTTCAAGACCAGCCTGACCAATATGGGAAACCCCATCTCTACTAACAATACAAAATTAGCTGGGCATGGTGGAGTGCACCTGTAATCCCAGCTACTCGAGAGGCTGAGGCAGGAGAATTGCTGGAACCTGGGAGGTAGAGGTTGCAGTGAGCCAAGATGGTGCCACTGCACTCCAGCCTGGGCAACAGGAGTGAAACTCCATCTCAAAAAAAGAAAAGAAAAGTGGAAAAGAAAGAAAGGACAGCTACTCCATAGACAAAGTAGGACGTTCCCAAAAGAGGAGGATGCCTCCACCCCAGGCACAATGCTTACATACATGGGGAGATTGGCTCTGCTACAAGGGTTTGTGATGAAGGATTAGTTTTCTTAATTCCTATATTTTGCAAGAATCAATATTATTATCTTTAAAGCAAAATTAGGATTGCCTTTGTTCTCCAGATCCAGGGTATCTGGACACTTCCAAGTCTGGGTCTGTTTTAGTAAACATTATTAATTTGTTCCCTTCACTGTGACCGTGTAGAAGCTGGGAATACCTGACTTTCTGGGAAGGCAGCCCATCAAGCCCCAGCCTCACGTTTCGAGCCCTCACTCAACATGCCTTCGCTCTGGTTTGAACGCCTGTGACCAGTGTGCACCTGCAGATCAGGGTGAGTATGGGGCTGTGTACACACGAGTTGGTGTGCACACGTGTGTGTCAGTGCGCCTGTGTGAATGCTGTCCTTGGCAGGCAGGCAACTGAGTGTGAATCTCCCTGAGGATTTCCACTTTACTGTGGTTCAGGCTGGGCCTTCCCTGCTCTCCCCCGGCCCCCCAGCCAGGGAAAGCTGCCTGTGGAATGAGGGGACAGGATATGGCACTGTGAGGCTCCCACATGCCAGAGGCACCCCTGAGCTTTGCATAGATGGGTAGGACTTGGACTGTTGGGGCTGGAGTGGAGCCTCAGAATTCTGGGCCCGAAGTGAGGGTCGAGGACTGCTCTCCAGAGAGCCCTCCGCGCGTGTGTGTGTGTGTGTGTGTGTGTGTGTGTGTGATCCGTGCATGCTGAGTCACTTGGGGAAGTTGTTCTTCTCATGTAAATGTCTTCAGCTTCCAGGGAGATCCTTCTGCTGTCTGGACTTGAACTTCTCTGGGGCAGAACCTGGGCTCTGGGGGCTGCTATTTGGGAAATCACGCCCCCTGCTGCCCCCGGGCCAGTGCCCCGAGGATACTGGAGGGGTCCTTGAGCCCAGTGGGGGTAGGGTGTGTGTGTATGTGTGAGAGTGTGTGTGTGTCTGTGAGCAGGGGTGTGTGTGTGTGAGTGAGGGTGTGTATGTAAGTTTATGTGTGCATGTGAGAGTGTGTGTGTGGGAGGGTGAGTGCAAGCAGGGATGTATGTAGATGTATGTGAGTGAGAATGTGGACATGTGCATTGGTGTGTGTGAGTTGTGCATGTGTGAGGTGTTATTGGGGGTGAGGGTGTGTGCATGTGAGTTGGTCTGTGTGTGAGTTGTGTAACGAGGGAGGGTGTGTGCATGTGAATTTGCATGAGGGTGTGTGTGACTTGGTGTGTGAGTTGTATATGTGTGAGGTCGTGTTGGGAGTGAGGGTGTGTGCATGTGAGTTGGTATGTGTGAGGTTGTGTTAGATGGGATGAGGGTGTGTACGTGGGTCTGTGTGTGAGTTGTGTATGAGGGAGGGTGTGTGCATGGAAGGGAGTTGGTGTGCATGGGAGTTGATGTGTGTGAGGGTGTATGTGAGAGGGTGTCTGAGGGTGTGTGTGATAGTGTGTGGTGTGAGTTGATGTGAGTCGTATATATGTGTGTGTGAGTTGGTGTGCTTGTGAGTTGTGTGTGAGTTGGCATGTGAGTTGTTTGTGTGCATGTGAGTTGTATGTGTGAATTGGTGTGTGAGTTCTGTGTGTGTTTGTGTGCATGTGAGTTGTGTGTGTGAGTTGGCGTGTGAGTTGTGTGTGTGTTTGTGTGCATGTGAGTTGTGTGTGTGTGTATGTGAGTTGTGTATGTGAGTTGGTGTGTGAGTTGCTGTGCGTGTGAATTAGTGTGTGAGTTGCTGTGTGTTAGTGTGAGTTGTGTGAGTTGATGTGTGTTGTATGAGTGGCTTGTGTATGAGTTGGTATGTGTGTGAGTTGATGTGCATGTGAGTTGCTGTGTGTCAGTGTGTGAGCTGGCATGTGAGTTGGTGTGTATGTGAGTTGGTGTATGAGTTGTATATGTGTGAGTTGGTGTGTGTGTGTGAGTCGGTGTGAGTTGGCATGTATGAGTTGGTGTGTGAATTGTGTATGTGTGAGTTGCTGTGTATGAGTTGGTACGCATGTGAGTTGTGTATGTGTGAGTTGGTGTGTGTGAGTCAGAGTTGGCATGTATGAGTTGGTGTGTGAGTTGTATATATGTGAGTTGCTGTGTCTGTGAGTTGTGTACGTGTGAGTCGGTGTGTGAGTTGTGTATGTGTGAATTGGTGTGCACAGGCGTTAGCATGCATGAGATTTGTGTGTGTGAGGGAGGGTGTGTTTGTGGGCAGGTGTGGATGTGCCTGGGAGTGCCAGGCAGGTTGGGAGGGGTGCATGAACTGAAACTCTGTGGCAGGCATTTCTGAGCTCCCCTGGCAGATCTGGCGTGGGAGGACATTTGGACCCGAACTCAGGGCCCTTCTGGCTGCCCTGGCCCAGGCCTCTGTGTGTTCCTGCTCTCCTCTCTCTCTAGTCTCTGCAGTCTCCTGGGCTCTCCAGTCCCACAGGGGCCTCTCCCTTGGAAACCCGTGGGGAATCTCACCACCTCTGTCTGCCCACCCAAGCCTCCTGGGGCACAGCAGACCGGAGGGCCCCTCAGGCCAGCACCTCCCGGAGTCCCCGTCCCCACAGTGGCCCTGGGGTCCCCTCTGGCCTCACACCCACTCCTCTTCCTCTCTCTCAAGATTCGCCCAGTGCTGGGCCCCAGAAGCCAGTCTTCCTGGAGGTCCTCACTGCTCCCTCCCTTCCTGCAGCCTTCCCAGGCCCGCCTCCCGCCTCCCGCCTCCCGCCTCCCACCGTTTCCTGACCCAGGCTCCCAGGCCTCTCCCCCTCTTCCCTCTCACCAGGGTAGTTCTGTGGCCACATGGTTGTGTGCTTTGTTTGGCTGCTGTCATCTCCCCCAGGAATGTGGTTCTCCCCCGTGAGAACCCAAATAGCAGGTACTCATCTCAGAACCACCCCCCTCCCCGCCAGGCCCAGGGGAGGTTTCCTGGTCCTCCCTGTGGCCGTGACTCCTTCACCCCAGGGCTCCCCCTTGGTGTCCATGAGGCCCAGACGGTGACCCTAAGTCTCCCCTTGACTCACCTATGTTTGGGGACAGCCCCTCCTTCCTGCAGGCCTGAGCTGGCCCCAAGCACAGCAACGACAGTGGTGCTGATGGGAGATGATTGCACGGAGCCTGCTCCCCAGGACCTTCTGGAATGGGAGAGTGCACTACCCCTCAGAATCCCCCCTCCCCATGGGGTCCTCTGGAGCATCCCCTAGAGCCAGCCCCTACCCACAGGCCCTGAGCCCAGAGAATGCGCTGGGTGAGCCTGGGGACAGTGCAGAGCCTGAGGTCTCCTCCCCAGAAGTAAGTACCGGGTCTGTGTAAATTGCTTGGTTAGGAGGGCAGGACCTGGCGTCTTCACTAGGCTTCCCCAAAATTGGGCTGGGCACATAATAGGTGCTTGCTAAATAAATGTTGAAATAGACAAGCAAGTAGGCAGGGCGCGGTGGCTCACACCTGTAATCCCAGCACTCTGGGAGGCTAAGGTGAGTGGATCACCTGAGGTCAAGAGTTTGAGACCAGACCAATATGGTGAAACCCCGTCTCTACTAAAAACACAAAAATTAGCTTGGCGTGGTGGTGGGTGCCTGTAATCCCAGCTACTCAGGAGGCTGAGGCAGGAGAATTGCTTGAACCTGGGAGGTGGAGGTTGCAGTGAGCCAAGATCGTGCCACTGCACTCCAGCCTGGGTGACAGAACGAGACTTTATCTCAAAAAAGTAAAAATAAAAAATAAGTAAATACATACATAAGTACAAATTTTAAAAGATAAGCAAGGGGATGGAAGGGGGGATGCAGGCACAGGTTTGGGCCATGAAGTTTCGTGAAGCCTCCTGGCCCATGGCCCTCCTGGGGTCCACACCCGAGCTCCCGATGGCGGTGGTGCTGAGTGTAGCCTGGCTGGGTCAGGCTCTGGCGCTTAGCAGGGTTCACTGTGGCTCTCTCCGACCTTGTTGTGGGGGCTGAAACAGATCTGCCTCCCTCTCCTTCCTCCGTCTCTCAGGGTGGGTGTTTATTCCCAAGCAGGGGGTCACCCAGAGAGCAGCCCGAAAGCTCCCTTGAGTCCTGAGGAAGGGGCAGCCAGGGGCGGACTGGGAGGAGGTGCAGCAGGCGTTGGGAGCAGCTCCTCCAAGTGCAGTGACCATATTTTTCTGAGCTGAACAGTGAGGACACGGGATGTTGCCGAGGGCTTTCTCAGGTTTGTTTGTTACTGAAGGGAAAAAAATCTTCCCAAGGTACGAAAGTTAAAGCTTACTTAGTGATGTGAGGAATGGCGTGTTTGTGGAAAGAACCTGAGTTTCCAAAATCAGGGTTTATCTGGAAAGGACATAATTCCATGTGGCTAATATTTGGGGGCTACCTGGACCAACCTTGTCCTTAGTGGGAAGCAAAGTGGGCACGATCCTGGCCTCATAGAGGGACGTAGGGAGGCTGACAGTCTTCTAATAATTTCACAGTTTGGAGGCCTTTTAGGAGGTAACTGATGAAGGGGTGGAGCTGGATGGGTGGGGAAGCACATTCCAGGCAGGGAACAGCATATGCAAAGGGCCTGTGGCTTGAGGGAGAGCTTTGAGTTTGAAGGACAGGTGGGCAGCCCCAGAGAGTGGAATGTGACGAGTGAGAGGGAGAGGAGGTTGGAGATGTGGGCAGGGGTCAGTCTGGGCGGCACCTAGCAGCCGTGAGAGTGTGATGGGCTGTCTCTGGCTGGCAGTGGGAGCCATGGATGGTTGGACACAGGCGTGACCTGGTCATCCTAGTGGAGATTGATGGTGACGAGGAGGATGATGGTATTGGTAATCACAGGAGGCACTGAGTTCATACCGCGTGCCAAGCACCATTTCACAAATGGAAGTGAGGGCTCGGAGGGGAAGTGACTTATCCAGGGTCACACCACTGGTAAATGGAAGAAATGGGAGTCAGACCACATCCATCTGGCCACACGGTCTGCAAGCTCGTCCTGCACGTCCTATCCACAGAGCTGCCCCTTGTCCGGATGCGGAAGCCGAGGGACACGCAGATGACCACGTCTCTTGTCTCCCTGTGGTGCTGACTCCTGTCCGCTCTGAGTTCCAGGCTGGGCAGGGACTCCAGGTCACAGGGTTGGCCGGAGCTGGAAAAGCCCAGCTCAGTTCCTGCTGAGGCCCAGCAGGGGAAGTGGAGGTTGCAACATCCGCGGAGGTTGAGGTTCCGGAGAAGCTGGGCCCCCAGCCTGTTCACTGGGGCACAGGTCATGCTGCAGCCACAGCCCCACTAGCTGGTTTGGGGGTCAGGGACTCTGAGTTGTGCCCACAACTTCCCCCGGGATGGGGGCAGCACTGGGACCCTCTTTCCTCCCGTGGAAGCAGAGTCAGGTGAATGCACTGCTCTAGACCCACTAGCAGCATTGAAAAAGCCCATATCAGGACAGGTGTGGTGGCTCATGCTTGTAATGCCAACACTTTGGGAGGCCAAGGCAGGTGGATCGCTTGAGGTCAGGAGTTCTAGACCAGCCTGGTCAACATGGTGAAACCCCCGTCTCTACCCAAAATTTAAAAACTAGCTAGATGTGGTGGTACATGGGTAGTCCCAGCTACTTGGAAGGCTGAGGCAGGAGAATTGCTTGAATCTGGGAGGCAAAGGTTGCAGTGAGCCGAGATTGCACCACCACCCTCCAGACTGGGGGACTGAGTGAGGCTCCATCTCAAAAAAAAAAAAGCAAGAAAATAAAAGAAAAAAGAAAAAGCCCTTATCCCCTCACTAATCGTTAGCAGATGAAAACCCAGATGAGATGTCCTCTCCCACCCACAAGCGTGGCTACTATCAGGAGGCAGAAGGAGCAAGTGCTGGAGGGGATGAGGTGGAGGAACTGCAGCACTTGGGCAGGGCCGATGGGGACGAAAATGGTGCAGCCGCTGTGGAAAACAGCATGGCAGTGCCTCAAAAACATTAAAAATAGAATTACCATATGATCTAGCATTTCCACTTCTGGGTATGTACCCAAAAGAATGGAAAGCAAGGTCTCGAAGAGATACTCATGCTCCTGTCTTCCCAGCAACTTTACTCACAATAGAGAAAAGGCGGAAGCAGCTCAGGTGTCCTCGGGCGCAGGAATAAACAATGCGATGCATACGTACGATGGAATATTATGTGGCCATAAGAAGGAAACTGACACACGCTACAACATGGATGAACCTTGAAGACAGCAGGCTGAGTAAAACAGCCTGTACGAAAGGGCAGATACAGTAGGATCCCACTTATGTGAGGTTCTAAAGGAGTTGCATTCGTGAGACAGACAGTGGGATGGTGGTTGCCGGGGAAAGGAGGAGTTAGTATTTCATGGGTACAGAGTTTAAGTTTTACAAGATGAAAAGAGTTCTGTGGGTGGATGGTGGTGATGGTTGTACAATACCATGAATGTACTTAACACTGCTGAACTGTGCACTTGAAAATGGTTACAATGATACATTTCATGTGTATTTAAAAGAAATTTATTACCAGTTCTCTTATGTTATTGATAGTTGGCTTTCTTTGAAGTTTTTTTTTCTTTTTTCTATTTTGAGACAGGGTCTCACTGTCACTCAGGCTGAAGTGTAGTGGAATGATTACGGCTCACTGCGTCCTTGAACTCCTAGGCTGAAGCGATCGTCCCGCCTCAGCCTCCAGAGCAGCTACCACACCCAGCTCATTCTTTACTTTTTTTGTAGACATGGGGTCTCACTATGTTGCTCAGGTTGGTCTAGGACTCCTGGCCTCAAGTCATCATCCTGTCTGGGCCTCCAAAGTGCTGGGATTACAGGCGTGAGACAAATCCCAGCCTTAAGTTAGCTGCTTTTGTAAGAAATAAAAATACCAGATAGTAATCGGCATTACAGCAGTCAAGAATTCAGATGCTCATGTTTCTGGGCAAGTGACCTTGCCTCTCTGAGCCTCAGTTTCCTCACGGGGAAATGGGGATCGTGATGGCACCTCCCTCCTGGAGCCACTGTGAGGGCTCCACCATGCCTCTGAGGTGCTCTGCCCAGCGGCCAATGTGCAGTGAGCAACCAGCCCCCAGCCACCCCTAGGACTGGCAGGTCTTCCTTGAGCCTTTGGGTTTTGGGAGCATAAGCACCGTAGGCCTTAGAGGAGAAAACATCTCTTGCCCCACCCTCCACATGAGGAAACAGAGGCCCAGAAGAGTCAAAGGACTTGCCAGGATCCCTCAGCATCTCCTGAACCAGAGCGTGGTTTTCCAGGAGTTTCCTCAGCACCTGGGCCAGGCTTCACCTGTGCCTGGGTGTGAGCTGTACTGGTCAGCAAGGCTCCCTCTGCTGCCATAACAAATGAACCCCACATCTGAGCACCTTAACAAGGTCAAAGTTTGTTTCACATTCAACAAAGTCTGCTGTGTATCCAGGCAATTCTTTTTTTTTTTTTGGAAGACAAAGTCTCTGTCTAATCTCAGCTCACTGCAGCCTCCGCCTCCCAGATTCAAGCAATTCTCTTGCCTCAGCCTCCTAAGTAGCTGGGACTATAGGCGCGTGCCGTCATGCCCAGCTGATGGCTGTATTTTTAGTAGAGATGGGGTTTCACCATGTTGGCCAGGCTGCTCTCGAACTGCTGACTTCAAGTAATCTGCCCATCTCAGCCTCCCAAAGTGCTGGGATTACAGTATGAACCATCGCGCCGGCCTCCAGGTGATTCTTTGGGGTAACTGCCCTTCCTGTGAAGGCTCAAAAATCCAGGCTGCCTTCAGCTCGTGACACCCCCATCTCCAGATCACTGAGGCAGGGTAAAGAGTGTCACATCACGTCCTCCCATGGCTCACTAGCCAGGGGGCCTCGTGCAGCCGCAAGGGTGGCAGGTCCTCAGAAAGAGGAAAACTGGCTACAGGTGAGCACCAGGTTTCTCCTCACAGTCAGTGTGTGAATCCAGGTGCCCCTTTCAAAATACAAACGAGAGCTTCCTGTTCTTCTGTCCTTGAAGAATCCCAGATGGGCCCTAGTAGAAAAGTATTATTGATTGATTTATTTATTTTTGAGACAGAGTCTTGCTCTGTCCCCCAGGCTGGAGTGCAGTGGCACAACGTCAGCTCACTGCAACCTCCACTTCCCAGGTTCAGGCGATTCTCCTGCCTCAACCTCCCAAGTAGCTGGGATTACAGACGTGTGCCACCACACCCAGCCAATTTTTTTTTCAGTAGAGACCAGAGTTTCATCATGTTGGCCGGGCTGCTCTCAAACTCCTGACCTCAAGTGATCCACCTGCCTTGGCTTCCCAAAGTGCAGGGATTACAGGTGTGAGCAACCGCGGCTGGCCTCAGGCAGGTATTTTTAACAGCCAAATACTCTTCCACTGTGCACTCTTCCTGTTCATCATCAGTCCCCTGGGATGGGTGTTTAAGGCATTTCCAAAGTTCTGCTATTAAAAACACGGGTGCAGTGAGCTTCTTTCTGCATTTCACCTTGTCGCCATGTGAATGTGTCTGTGGCATAAATTCCTAACAATGGAATCACTTGGTCAAAGTGTGGGTGCTTTTAGCAACCTGACAGCTCTCCAGGGGACACATGCTGCCTCCAGGGCCACAAGCAGCTTTTAAGAAGAGCTGCTAGGCCAGGCACCATGACTCATGCCTATCATCTCAGCATTTTGGGAGGCTGAGGCAGGCGGATCACAAGGTCAGGCGTTCAAGACCAGCCTGGCCAACATGGTGAAACCCTGTCTCTACTAAAAATACAAAAATCAGCCAGTGTGGTGGCGCACGCCTGTAGACCCAGCTACTGGGGAGGCTGAGGCAGGAGAATCGCTTGAACCCGGGCGATGGAAGCTGCAGTGAGGCGAGATCCCACACTGCACTCCAGCCTGGGCGACAGAGCGAGACTCCATCTCTAAAAAAGAAAGAAGGTAAAAATCACCAACACACCTCACCCAGAAACAACTCTGGTTAATGTCTGGGTGGACATCCTTCTGCAGTGTAGACATTTCTCCCCATCCCCTGTAATGACCATGAAAATCTCTCCCTTTCTTGCTGTAGGTGTGGTGTGGATCTGAGGGCCTGAAAATCTCCATTCCCTCCCCTCCCAGGGCATAAACAAACAGCCCACCGGCACCCCTCCCCCCATTGCCAGGTTGGAAGCCTGCTGCCTCTCCAGCTCCAGGGAGCAGGCTTTGGTCCCCGCTAAGCAGGGACTGATCCTCCAGTCCCAAAGAAAATTCCACCCTGCTACCTTCCAGACACCCCAGTTTGTGTGTTGCGTTCGCACAAAGCCAAGCAGGCCTCTGTCTGGTTTGTGGCTCTGTCTCCAGCCCCCACTCACCATCAGCAATAATTGACCTTTTCTAAGCACAGAGCAGGCCCCAGCTTGGGCCTGGGTGCTCCTAAGTGTCTGGGTCTCTCTAGTGAAGTGGATTGTTGATCGACCCCTGGGATGTCAGGAGCTTCCTGGGAGGACCTTCGCCTGCAGGAGAGAAACAGCTGCCACTGGCAAGGGCCTGGCCTTGCTTCTCAGGGAGGGAGGAGGCACGACCCAGGTGGCAGTGTGGTGGTGGCAGTTCTAGGTCCAATCTGATGCAGGTGTAGACATTTCTGTAAGGACAACAGGTACCTGGGACCCCGCAGCCCTGCTCCGGCGCCTCTTGGATGCACAGGGCTCTGGGAAATTGGGACAACATCCACTGGGGGTGGCAGATGTTGCTGTCATGCTCGGTGGGGGGTGGCAGGGGCGAGTGGTGGGGGGTGGCAATTTCCACTGCACAGGCGGCTTTGCCCTGCCCTTCGTGGTACCGTGGTGGTCTCCCTTAGTCGTTCCTCAGTCCTGTTCCTGAGCATTTGTGAGTCTTCCTGATGCCAGAAGAAACCCCTGGGGGCGGCTTGACGGGAAACAAGAGCAGAAAGGGGGCAAGAGCCTGTAACAGGGTCAGAGTGACCCTGTGGCTTCTTCGGGGGAGGGTGGGTGCTACAGAAGCTTGGGTTTGGAGTCAGAGGGACTGGAGAGTGTCCTAGTGGAGTCTTGTACTGGCTGTGTGACCCTGGGCAAGTCACTTAAGGTCTCTGAGCCCCCACTTCCTCATCCACCCTACAGGCACAGCAGGGCCCACGTGGCAGGCTTGAAGGACAGAACTCGATGCCCAGGCCTCCTCACCTGGCAGTGCCGCTTTGCTCTGTCTGCTTGCCCTGGGGGTGGTGGCCTGGGGAAAGCTGAGTTACAGAGGTTGGGGGTCTTTGGGAACCCACAGTTTTCCTCCCAGAGGCTCCTAGGTCTTGACAGCAGAGAGGTCCGAGCTGTACTTCCCATTCACCTTCCCATTGCAACCTTGTTCTCTTTTCTTGAAATGAATCTGACCCAAGTGATCAATACGGAAGGAAGCAGCGGGAAGGGCTGTGAGTCCCCCACTTGGCCCTCTCCATTTCCCATTCGATGCCCCTAGGGGCTGTGAAACAGTTGGAAACACCCCGGCCACGGGAGGTGCTGGCAGCAGATAAACGAGGGGTGAGGGGAGTCATTTCCCAGTGCATCCCTCACTGCCTGGCTTAGAAGAAAGATGTGTCTCTACATGAGACGGGTGCTTCTGAGGGTCCTGCAGGGCCTGAGGTTGCTAAGCCAGGCAGCCCACCTTTCCCCCTTCCCATTGGGTCTGAAGACGCCCCTCCGTGTGGCCCAGGCCAGAGCTCCGCTCAGGACTGTCCGGCCACTTGACCTGGGGCAAGTCGTCCTCCTGAGCCTCTGCTGTTTGGAACATCTGTAGGGCCCTGCATCGGAGGGCATCGGAGCGGGGTGTGGGGAGGGCAGGGAGGAGCTGGCAGGTCCCACGCACTGCCCCTGGTGCCAGTCAGTACCTGATCAATGGCGCTTGCCATTCGTTTCTTGAGACAGGGTCTTCCTCTGTCACCTAGGCTGGAGTGCAGTAGCACAATCTCGGCTCACTGGAGCCTAGACCTCCCAGGCTCAAGTGATTCTCCCACCTCAGCCTTCCAAAGAGCTAGGACTGCAGGTGTGTGCCGCTACATTTGGCTAATTTTTTGTATTTTTGGTAGAGACGGTATTTTGCCATGTTGCCCAGGGTGGTCTTGAACTCCTGAGCTCAGGCGATCTGCCCACCTCAGCCTCCCAACGTGCTGGAATTACAGGCGAGAGCCACTGGCCACCCTTGCTGTTCTTAACAACAATGGGAAGGACTGGAAACAGGTGAGGACTGAAAGGAGCTTGGAGAGAAGGCAGGGCTAATGTCAAACCCTGGATCGAACACCCAGGCCCCCACACCCAGAAAGGGCAGGCCAATGGAGCCAGGCCCTCCACCTGCAGCCCCAAGAAAGGATGCGGGTCCCAAGGAATGCTCCAAGGTTGGCTCCTGGCTTCCAAGACCTCAGGGTGGAGCAGGGAGCCTATGGTACTATGTACAGGGCATGGCAGTTTTCAGGGGGCAGGATCCTCGTTCTTGGTCAAGGGGAGGGAGGCCTCACCGGGCCCAGTTTGCAGATAAGGAAACTGAGGCTCCTCAAAGCCAGGCCACAGACTGCTAGTGGGTGTGACCCCTCAACCTGGCAGGCTATGACTGGGGGCAGGCCCCAGTTTAGGAACTCCTGCAGCGTGTGTGTGTGTGTGTGTGTGTGTGTGTGTGTGTGTCTTCCTCAGCTCCTCCTTTGTGTCTGAGGCACTGTGGGGACTGTCAGAGGGGGCTGGAAACCTCCCAGACTCTGGCAAAGATGCCCAAACAGAGCAAGTCTGGCCCTAGAGAGCAGGGAGCCAACCCCCGGCCCCATCCCACAGCGGGGGAAACTGAGGCTCAGCCAGCTGGGGGCTTGTCCAGGCCCCCTAGGAAGCCGAAGTGGTCTTAGCCTCCAGGCCAGGCCTCCCTGAGACTGCAGTGCCCTCCTGCCTCCTCCTTGGCCCTGCCTTCCTCACAACCCCAGCATCCCCTGTCCTCTGGAGGAAGATTTCCGTGGTCCCGGTTGGGGGTGCCAAACTGCCAGCGACAACAGCATTTTTAAAATCCTAGCCTCGCTGACTTGTGTGATTCTTTTTATTTAAGGCAGGGAAGAAACTGGGAGTGGGCAGCTGGTCACCTCTGGGAGGGGGCACCTCCAGGTGGGGGCAGCCCCTCCGGCCTGCCTGTGCCCAGCTCCAACCTGGGGAGGTGGGAGGAGAGGGGAAGCAGGAGGCTGAAAGGGGGAGGGGGACGGGAGAGGATGAATTAGGAGGATGAGGAAGGGGGAGGAAGAGGAAGGGGGAAGAGGGGCAGAAGAGGGTGGAGGAGGAAGGGAAGCGGGTGCTGGGGTAAGGGGAGGAGAGTAGGAGGGTAAGGGGAGAAGGGGCAGGAGGAGAGGATTAGGGAGGAGAGATGAGCGGGGAAGAGGAGGCTGGGGAGGGCGTGGGGTGGAGGGGGTGAGGAAGGGGGCAAAGGAGGAGGATGGGGAGGAAGATGGGGGAGCACAGAAAGGAGCACCCCCTTGGCGGCTCCCAAAGCAGATAGGAGATACATAATTTACTACGGAAATGCAAAAAGAACTGGGAAACTCTCAATTTATAAATATTTATTTTTACAAGTTCACCCCTCCTGGCTCCCCCTGGCTGGCCCTGGTCTTTTCTCTTTGGGGCCCTCGGGGTGCAGATCCCTCAACGGCTCTCACTCGGCCCCTCTTCCCCTCCCTGCCTTCCTTCTGCAGTCCCTCCCGCCTGGGGTGGTCTCTATCTCCCCCAGGCCCTCTCCTTCCTCTCTCCCAGTCTCTTAAGCCCGTGTCTCTCCCTCGGTCTCTCCCCCAGTGCGTCTTCGTCTCTGTCTCTCTGGGTGGCGGGACGGGGGCGATTTTTGAGTCTCCCCCCGTAGATTTCTGCCTCTGTCTCCCCCATCTCTCCATCTGTGTCCTCCCACTTGCCCCGCGCCCCCCCGTCCCTCTCACCCGAGGACCCCAGCTCCCAGCAGAGGGTCCAGGGGCGGCCAGAGCCCCCGAAGGCTCCCGGGAGGAGGGGTCGTTTCCTTGGCAACGGGCCGGTCGGCGGGAGGGGCGGGGATTGGGTTGAGCCCCGCCCCTTCCCCGCCCCCTCGCTCGGGCGGCGGTTGGGGGCGCCTGGGGTGAGGTTCCCGAAGCACGCGGACCGGGCCGCGGAAAGGGGGACGGGGCTCCCTGGAGGCCGGCCCGGAGGAAGGGCGGGCAGGCAATCAGCCAATCAGCTCATCAATCAGCGGGCCAATCCGTCAATCACAGGTTTGATTGATGGATCAGGCCACAGATCTATCGGTGGCCCAGAGCGGCTGGGGTTGAGCGCTCAGGTTTTGGAAAGAGCTGAATTCTAATCCCTGATCGGCCTCTTCCTGGCCTTGTGCTTCTGAGCCCGGCGCGGAGCCTCGGGGTCCCCTGTGCGCAGTGGGGCTGTGACTGCCCCTGCCTGCGGAGCTGACAGCCCATCCTGGTGGCCTGGTGGTCCCTGTCCACCCCCTCCACCTCACGGATGGGA